GTTCCTGATCCGCTCCACCATGTCCTCCCAAGTTGTAGGAATTGCAGCGTAAACTTTTTCTTTCAAGTAACCCCACTGGAAGAAGTCTGGTGGCGTAAGATCAGGTGATCGAGCAGGCCAAATTACTGGACCACGTCTACCGATCCACCGCGGTGCACCGGCCATTGAACTCCCGATCCAAGACCTCTCGAGCAATTGTCGAATAATGTGCAGGACAACCAAGATGCTGGTACCACATGTTTTGGAGCCGTGTTAGTGGTACATCCTCCAAAAGGTCCGTCAGATCGTTTTCTAGAAAATTCCGGTACTTTTCGCCATTTAATGCACCGTCAATAAAGAAGGGTCCGATTAATCGTTCGCTTAAGGTACCGCACCAAACGTTTACCGACCAGGGACGCTGGTGCTCCACTTGGTGTCGAAATGGAAGGACGACATTTGTTATAAATTGTTTTCAGAGCCGACTATTGTTGATTTAATGTTAATTTTTGTTTTTCAAACGTTTCAAATAATACATTTTATAAGGAAACCCCTTTTTTTTTAAATTTTGAATTACAGCGCCATCTGTTGATAAATTAAAAAAAACTTTCAAATAAAAGTTATTCATTTTTTTATGTACTACCAAACTCTGTGAAAAAAATTGGGTCATTCCATTTGACTTTCCAAAGTTACCCCCCGTTTCACCCTTAAGGAGGGGTAGGGGGTGGCTAGCGGTAGCACCAAATAATGTCCCCTTTGGTCACATTAACCTTTTATTTAAGACATTTTTCCGTGAAATGCGTATTTCTCGAGATATTGAGCTGTCTCAAGTTAAAAGAAACACCCTGTATATCTCCATTATTCGAGCTAAACTAGCAAAACCCCTTTAAAGATTAGTTTTGGGGGTTGCATAGATTCGATTTTTCCACATTTCATCCCAGTTCAAATTGTAAGGTCAAAATTTGTCGCACAGTGTAATCAATATATGGATACACTTTTTTTATTATAATTGTTGTTACAATTAATTTTATGCAAATTTCATATTTTTCATTATTTTTATATCTCTTAAGTTTGCAGGGTGCATTGGGCTTGAATTAATAAAATCAAACAAATTATTATTTGTACCAAATATCATTTATAAAAAACTACATAAAGAAAATTTGTTCTTTGTTTTGTAAACAAAGCTATTAACAAAAATAATATTAAATTGGAATTTTTTTAAGGTTCAGTATATAAAAAAAATTGGAGGAGTCTCCGAAAAAGATGCTACTGCGGTATACCGTAAGAGTAAATGTTTTCTAATAATCTGGCACAAGATTGCTCTTGGCTAACCCTATGAAACAACCAAAGAATAAAAAAATTAAAATTTATAGAAATATTGAAAGGTAAAAATATAAATTTTATGGGATTTTTTATTATTTTTTAAGCTGCTGTTTGCACTTTAACAGAAAAATATTTTGAAAATATTGTTTTCGAATGGTTCTGGCAGGCAAAACAAAGATATGTAAGGAAAACAAAATACCTATAAAAAGAAGGTAGGTATATCTTATTAATGAGATTGCTTTATTTTTTTCTACCATATATTTTTACCTTATTAATTTTTTTTAAGTTTGGAAAAGTTCGAAAAAACTTTATGTTTTTTAAGGTAAAATTAAAATTAAGGTGATTTTTTCATATTTTACAATGTTTGTTTTTAGATTTATTTGGAGGAGAAATTATTTGTTTTTATTAATTAAAATATTTTTTAATAAACATTTTTAACCAATTTGTTTTTTTTTAAATCTCTTTCAGAACCATTTATTTCTGCAATTTTTTTATGTAATATATTATCCAACTGGTTTTAACAATTTCTTGGTTCTAATTAACTTGGTATTAGGGCAACTTTAAAATTTTGTTGATTTTTTTAAAATTAGCTGAAATTTTACTACCGCCATAGTATTAAGTTGTAACTAAAAAATAAATGCAACTGGGTACTACATTTATATGAATTGTGTTGGCAATAGTAAATTCAAAAAAAAAAAAATCAACAAAATTTTAAAAGTGCCATAATACCAAGTTAGGGCTAAGGAATTTTTAATTCCAGTGAGATAATATATTACATGAAATATATATATATAAATATTTCATACATAATAAGTAAAATTTTGTTGATTTTTTTAAAATTAGCTGAAATTTTACTACCGCCATAGTATTAAGTTGTAACTAAAAAATAAATGCAACTGGGTACTACATTTATATGAATTCTGTTTAATACTATGGCAATAGTAACATTTTTGCAAATTCAAAAACAAAATTTTAAAAGTGCCATAATACCAAGTTAGGGCTAAGGAATCTTTAATTCCAGTGAGATAATATATTACATGAAATATATATAAATATTTCATACATAATAAGTAAATATTGCATAAATAATTATTAGTAAATATAATGCAACATTTATGTAAATGGAATATAATTGTTTTATCACGTTTACATAACTACGATATGGCGCTGTTACATTACAGTTACATAGTAACTAATACACATCTATGATAAAACAATGTTACATCACAGTTACATAACCAGGAAGGGGTCTTGAGGCGGACATAGGAGCATTGCCATTACATATAGGTGACATAACAATTTTTATGTAAATTTTACATCACTGTGACATGATTTGGTTTGCTGGGATTATTCGTCACTGAGCAGATGAGGATGGAGATGGGGACTCCAAACAATTAATGTTCAGCTATGCCATTACGGACGCACACTTCCAACTAAATATTGCAAACAATCGCTATTTATAGTTAGCTCGCGTGCGTAAGCAGCCGTGAGATGTATCGCTTATGCCGCGGCAGGCCGTATTCCAGCCGTAAGCGGGCCGGCTATGGCAACCCGAAGGATTTTGCAGCGGCATGCCGTATTCTGGCTGACTTCGGTTAGAACATGGCTAAACGGTACCGGGTTAACATAACGCGGGCCGTAAGCGGGCCAACTGGGGCAAGCCGAACCGCCGGTCAACCGCCTATGCCGAGCGAAGGCCGACTGTTTGCCGAGTGCTTGGTGCTTACTGGCATGTGATAAATACCTAGCTAAAACAATAATAAAGTTAATTAAAACTTATATTATTTGACTAATTTATTATTTAATTATTATTATTAATTTATTAACTGCAATCTTTCCTTCTGGGCATATTTGATCCTGAATTTTTTGTTGTTTTATTAAAGAGGAAGAAGGGTTACCGTGAATTCAAAACGTTATCACTCGATGTTTACTAATTATTTTTTCAGAAAAATTTGATAATATTGCTTAGGATGCCTTTATTTACACCAAGTTAGTGAGACTTGCCAAAGTGGTCTTGGTAAGTCGATAATTGCATGAAATGGAACTTTAAATTGGTCGGAAGAGGAGATTCACGCTCAAACACAGAGCTGTGCGCTCGAGGAATATTGTTGTTGTGTTGCAAAATGAATGTTGTTATAATGGCAAAATTAAGGACAGTCATATTTTTGTGCTTATTAAGTTGGCGGTGCAAAATCTGAAGTTACAATTTTAAAAAGTGCTAAAAAGATCGTTTTTGGGATTTCCATACAAAATATACTGTAATAATCAATTTCTAAGCCATTAAGCACACAACACACAACTGTGCAGAAAAAAAAGTTTCCAAACTTGAGAAACAAAATAGGATATCCTATTTTGATATGATATCATGTTGATAGCTTAAAATTTGATTATGATTTTTTATGGAAATGAGAGTTATTAAAAAAATAATTTTTTCCACTCCCACCTTTAAAACGCATGTTTCCATGACACTAAGTGACCTTTTAAATACACATTGACAAGTTGTGGCTTTATGGCGCTTTAGTCACGGGCTGAAGTTAGCAACAGGTTTTTAGCCACGGGCAGAAGTTAGTTAGACCTTTTAATTTCGCCGGCAGTAACCTATAACTTAAATTCGGGCACGGACTCCTCTGTAAAGTCCTCATAAAACATTTTCTTTACTTTCACTGTGAAAAACTTTCAATTTTCAAGAAATACATTTCGATTTATAACCTTTATAATCTGTGTTAATAAAATACACAAATGTGACATTTGACGGTGACACACAGATTCCCCTATTGTTTCATAGATGGCGCTCTATACAAATTTTTGATTTAAATCATTTTAAGATAATAATAAGTATTTGTCGTAGAAAAAGTATAGTATGCACCTCGTTTATAAACTTTTCTATACACTCATTAATTTAAGCACTCGCTCGTTCCTAAATTAAATTCGTGTATAAAATGGCGTTTATCAAACTTGATTCATAAAATACTATTTTTAATGTTTCTGAGCCATCATATATTTAATTTTGAAGACGTTCTATGGAAACTCTTCTTTAATAACAAAAGTCTCATGCTTTAATAATCAATATTCCACTCTTTCGCCAAAGTTGTCCTTTTTCAAGTATTCCCCTCTTTGTTATAAAAAATAAGATGTATAACATTGCAGATTAACATTGTAATCTTCAATAAAAGGCGTATTTTTTTATTAAAGTATTTATTTAGAAAACTATATAAATTCGCCATAACAAAACAAAAACAAATGAAGTGGGATTAAATAAATCTGAGTTTAGGCGGAGAATAACAATTTTCTAATATGGTACCTACATGCACAGAATTTAATAACTAGGTACTTATTACTTATTGTATGGTATAGTGGCGGACACGGATTTTTTAACGACATAAGAAATTTATAATAGCAAAGATTCTTTATTATATTGTTGCTTTCGCTGTCAAAAAGACTAGTAATAACCGGAAGGTTAGTTTGATTTTGATGTCAAAAATTCCGTGTCCGCCACTGTAATAATTTGGTATTAAACAATACAAAAAATTTATAAAATTACGTTATTACAATATGAGAGATAATATGATAGAATAATGTCAATTTAAAACGAATAAGTTAAAACAACCCAACTATGAGTATCACAATGTTTAAAAATTTCACTTAAAAAAGTTTGTGAATTTTTTACATCTACATACAAACTCAAAAATGTTAGTTTGGGAAAATAAATAGAAAAAAGTCAAACAAAATACATGAAAAAAATCCTAAGCCATTTTATTGATAATAGACATATGTAGTGTGTTTAACTGATTTGTCCACCTATCCAAAGCATTATATCTAGCTGAATTGATTGTTGTTCTTTCCAAAAACAAAACTTGGTTTACCTGGTCTATTCTTCCCTGAATTGTGCTAAAAAGATTTTATATTAACGCCTTAAACAATATATTACAATAGTTGACTTACTTATCTAGGATACAGGAAACTAATAAGCTCTCAACCTCAGATACATCTATATTCAGTTCATTGGAAATAAAAGGTATCTGAATCCTTGTATAGGGCTTAATAAGTTTGATTAGGACTTGGGTCCTTATATTGCGCAACAAGTCTGGAAAACAACCCTTAATATAACCTAACAAGTAATCAAAACACCTTACCTTCAATGTGTTCTCTAATAAAGGGATCATCCATAATATTCTGCCTATTTTGCTTTAAAATCGACTCAAACTCGTGAATATCATTTGTTTGGTAGGCATTTACTAAATTCGTCATTGCTAATATTTCTGAATCGTTTTTATAGGGTTTGGCTTCTTGCGAATCAAAGGGATTGATGCCGGATTTCATAAGCATATTGGCCAGGACTAAGTACTTAAGGCATGTAGTCCTTCGAGGACTCCCTGACTCATCATAGTTTTTAAAGGCTTCAAAAAAATCTGTGTGGGCTTTCTCAAACTCTCCCTCTCTTAAGTGCATCTTCCCTCCACACTCTAAAACAAATAAATCAAAATTCCAAAAGACACATTAAAAAACTACTGTTTACAATACCTCTAATAACTCCCATTATCAGTGGATGTGGTATGGCTGACTTAATATGCAACGATTGTTCATACAAAGTCTTTAATTTCTTGTTATTCTTTTGAGCAGTGTACATTTGTATTTCCAACGCGTATATCTCCAATAGCTGTGTACCTTTCTTTAAGTCATCTTCACCGTCGTCAGTTTGACACGACTGATGCAGTTGCTTCAATATTTTTGCTAATTTATTAAAATCACCTCTGTCGTAATATAGTTTCCCCAGCTTGGTGTTGGTCTTGAACCACAGTCTATCATTTTTGGCGTCTTTTAAAGCTTCTAACGTTGTTTCATAAAAATTTTGCAACAATTCCATCTAAAAGCAAATAAAAAAAAATAATAAACATATAAACTATCAATTAAAAAATCTCAATAATAATAATAATAATAAAAATCTTTATTGGGTCTTTGTGCTCAGTTGATACAATATTAGTTTATAACTTATACTTTGGTTGTTAATTATTCTAGTATACAAATAAAAAAACAATTTATATTAAATAATTAGGTAATAAAAAAACACTAAAACTTACATTCCTAGATGTCGAGATATAATCTAATATAGAGTTGATAGATTTTTCGCTATGATTTCTTGTGACGGCACTTTTAATGTAAGTTAGCAGCTGTTTATACCTTGACATCATTTCCTCGAAATTCCCCTGCAATTACATTTAATGTATAAAACTATATTGACCATGTTTTAGAGTGTTATACCAGCTTAAAATTAATTTTGATCATTTGCTTTAAGGCTTTGAATCCCCATTCTCCCTTCTCACCGCTCTCCAAATCCAAAACTTTTTGAAACGATGCTAATGCAGCCCTTGGCTCATCCTCTTTTAAAGCTTTACTATTGTAATATTGGTTTTCTAAATCTACATCGGGTTCCGAGTTACTGTCTTCAGAATATTCCTGCAATAATCGTAGAAATGTATAAATAAACGGTTTTTTATGTCAATAAAAGAGTGAGGTTAACTTTTGTTTTTCTAGCTACTTACAAGTCCATAATCTTCCTCATCATCGCACATAAAATCATCTTCGCCATCTGACATACTTAAAAACTATATTAATCAGAATTTATCGAAAATAATTGTAAATAAGACTCCAATTTGGAGAAAAATTTAACAAACATCAAGCAAGTTGCCGAATTGTAATTTGACAGCCGAAGTTTTAGGCACTACCAACTGCTAAAAACAAATTATTGAAACGTAGCTTTGTTTACAATACACACATGTTACAGATAATTTAACAACAATATATATTTAATTTGAATCCAAACGGGCTTCTCTACTTTGTTATTTCCGTTTCCAAATTTGTGGAATGCGATTTAAATGTCTGTCCACTCCTGGAATTTTTTTGACAGATGCACAGTGCACATCACCTTCTAGTTTTGTGGTGCACATTAGCAGTCTGCTACAGAATTTTCGGTAGATTACCAATTTAGCAGTCGATCTACCGAAATATTTTACACCAAATTTTTTGCACATTCTTTTGCTAATATAGAAAGGGTATTTTAGGCTGCTGATTGTTAAAAACTAATTTAAAAAAATATTAGAGATCTGCACAATTATTATTTGTCATTCAAAGTGAATCGACACATTTTTTAAACCAAAATAAATGTTTAAATGCTGTTGTAGGTATTAGTTATATTTTTTTTAAACTTCGTTTTATTTTACATATGCTTTATAACAAGGATTTTTCAATCCTTGGCTTTTTAGCACATCTTTAATTTAAATCTAATTGTTAGTGGCAACACTGCAGCTGCAAGTTTTGAAATTTCTTAATTCCGCCCCTGCACCGAACAATTTCAAACGGTAAACAATAGGCAAGGTAGGATGTGTTAAATAATTTAAATAACATAACTTTGACAAAGTAGTTAAAGAAAATCCTTGTAGCAATTAAGATAATGGCATATCCTTAAGCAATTGAAATAAAATGTTGAAGATAAAAATTAAACTATAGTATACTCATAAAATAAATTAGTGTGGGCAGATTTGATGATTGTTTAATTATAAACAGAAAAGCTATGGGTGTAACGTGAATAAAAATGACTGAAGAATTTTATACAAATATTGGTTGTGTGCCAAAAGTGGTGTCTACCTGGCGTAGTTTTGTTTCATCTTTAAAATTTGGCCACCAGGTTCACCCATTGGATCCCATACCTCCAGAAGACTCAGAATTCATAGTAATAGACTCAAAATTCAATATTAGAGTCATACATATTAAACCCAGTGAGAAAAAAAGACCTCCACCAGTATTAAGGGAAAGTTTCAAGAGAAATTCGCTTTCGGAGGAATATTGGTTTACAAAATGGAATAGACCTCTAAAAATTGGCAATTGTAATTGCTCATTTAGGAGATCTATGAGGTACTCTATTATAACAAATCAACCGAGCAAAGTCAATAGTGAAAAAAGGTATGTTTTCAAGTTTATCTTTTCTGTATGCTATTTAAGTTAAAACCGAATCTTTTTCAGCGCTTTAAACTTGGATAAACCTACAAAAATAATAAATGTGGAGACTTTTGTTGACCGTTTAATTCAAGAGACGTTCTTTGAGTCATTTCAAGAATATTACATGTCTTTATCAAATAAAACATCTGGAAAAGTGAATTTAGCCTATGATATAACAGAAGAGGAGTTTGGCGTCACCTTGCGAAAAAAAAATTATCATGATGTTGAGAAAAAACAATGTGTTCACAAAAAATCTCACAAAGTAAACATTAAATTGTTTGGTTAACATTATGTGGTAAATAACTTGTTTTTTAGAAGCCATTGATATTATTGCTGCATGGGATTGGAATGTCAGCTGATGTTTGGCAAATATTAATCGACACTTTGGTTAATAAAGGTTTTGAAGTAATAGCCCCTGATTTATTGGGGCATGGTTTCAGTTCTGCCCCTGATATGGAATCTCTTTATACATTTGAAAGTCTATTGCTTCAGTTGATTACAATATTTGATCATTATATGATTGACAAAAAGAAATGCATTGTTATAGGACATTCATATGGGTAAAAAGATGGTTGCATTTAGGGTTTTAAAATTTCCGGAAAAATTGAGCCGGCGGAAAAAACGGTTTTTTCCGAAAAAAAAAACGGAAAAATTGGGAAATTTTCAGAAAAGGGTAATACACAATTCACACAACAAGGTCTGTTCTATCTCGTGCTAAAAATACTAAATAAAAATCACTGCAACACTGCACAGACTTTAACGGCGGCCATTTTTGTTGTTTAAATTATTGTGCTTTGGGTTTGTGCTGTTTAAACAGATAAATAATCATTTAAACGTTGTGTTTTTTACAGAGGCACTTGTAAGCCTTAAAAGAGGCCGTAAAGTGCAAAGGGCAACCATTTTACTTCTCCTTTGTAAAAAATAAACTTTATTCTATCAGGGCTGTCATCAAACTGTCGAATGTCAACTTTAAGGTTAGTTTACAAATTAAGCTTAAAATTGAAATTTGACATTTTTACAAAATAAGTAAAATGAAGCTGACAAGTGCCTCTGTAAGAAACACAACGTTTAAAACGATTATTAAACCGCACAAACCCAAAGCACAAGAATTGTAAACAACAAAAATGGCCGCCGTTAAACTCTGTGCTGTGTTGCAGTGATTTTTAGTACAAGACAGAACAGACCTTGTTGTGTGGATTGTGGGGTATTAAATACAAAAAAATGCAAAAGAATTTTTTTTGAAAATTTACAAATTTTTACGGATAATATCCGTACAGTGATTTCGACGCTGATTATAATCAATATATTATGATTACAATAATTATTCCTTTTATTTAATTAATTATTCGGTGCTGTATAAACATAACTTTATTTGACACTTTTATAAAATTACAATTTAAATGGACTCCATTTTGCAAAAAAGACCCAACCGACAGTATATTTAACATTTACGTTTATTTTCTTAAATCAATTTAATTTAAGTTTAGATTTATTTTTTTCTATAATTTTTTTTTAATTAAAACAATGTTAAGTTGTTCATTGCTGTTTTTTTCAAATGTGTATATTTTCCAAATAAAAACTCAATTTTTCCCAAAAAGCTATTTTTCCGAGGCCTGGAAAAAAAACGGAAAAAACAGTTTTTTCCCATTTTTTTTTTTCGACACTTTAAAACCCTAGTTGCATTGTAAAGAATATTGTTTAATACAATACATTTTAGATGTAGTTTGTCGACAGCCCTGTATCAGCATAGATCCTCTCAAATCTCACAAATGATCCTCATTAGTGGGGGTGGACCCACCCCTTTGGCAGCTCCAGTGGGAGACGGAGAAATTTCCCCGTTCGGATGTGTTTACACGCTTTTCAGGCCATTGTTGTTTTGCGGTTTGAAAAGAAGTTTTTTTTATTCCTCGAGGGGTAAACATTTTAGCCCGTGTGACAATGATGGTAGTATACCCAGTCATGTTATAAATTATATTGCTAAAGGCCAGCAGTGGCCGCAAGGGGATGCAGCCTTTCACAGAAGGATTTTAGTACCAACATTATTGGTACATGGGTTGCAGGACCAAAAAGTGACACTTGTTCAAGAATGTGAAATGGAAAGGGTGAGTATTAGAGATCAACGAAACAGCGATATTTGCTTAGCCCTTAGCAGTTATTGCATTTAAATAACAGCGATTTTAAAGCGCAAATGCGATTGCAACTTTTAATATTTGTCAGTAAAATTTTTAATTACGGCGATTTTAAAACTCTAGCGCGATCGCAACTCTAAAGCCTGATTTATATATTGACTTCCTTCGTTCCTCCCGTAGAAGATGAACAAAACAATCCCGTACGGAAATCTATAAACGGCACTACGGTTTTCGTATTGTTCATCTTTTATGGGAGGAAGGAAGACAATATAAATCAGGCTTAATTATTTGAAGACATAAGTGGAAGAAATGCACATGGAATGGATTGGTAATTCATAGCGCCAAACCCATTCCAACCAATTAAAACCAATTAATTTTTTAAAATTTTTCATTCAAAAATAATTTTAGATCCCAGAAGGATAACCAGAATTCATTTTCTACAGAAGAGACAAAAAATTTATTGTTTCTGAGTATTTTTATTTCTTTTTTTTTTGTGATATATGTATGTATTGATATATATAACTTACTATTACAAAAAAAGTAATAAAAAATAAATAAAATTACTCGGTTATAATCATTTTTTTGTCTTTCTTGCAAAGGATGTTTGTAGGCATGGTCGAAGTCACTAGGCACTTAACAAAGAAATCGACTAATAAAAAAACCGCTAATAAATGGCGTCCAAAGACTTGTTGTTGTTTTTTCTTTATGATATCATAAACGGAAAATTATAGAGGTGTATAGGATGACGCCACGTTTGAATATCGTTTTCTAAATCTCCCTACGGTATAGAGTTGTATTCGTCAGTCGAACGTTTCAATACTCTCCACAGTATAGAGGTCGTAATTTCACTTTTGAACTAGTATTAATATAAAAATTATTTTATGCTTAAAAAAAACTATATACGACATGATTATGATTTTTTTCATTTTATTAATTAATTAAGCTGTTTTGAATATTTTTCCTAAAGGAATAATTGCCAATGGGCCATTAATTCATTTGTTCGTAGATGCTACAATAACCTGTACTGGTGTGTATTTTTTCATCAACCAGATAAATATTACAAAACTAACATATACCAGTGGAGATAGTGCAGGGTCTACCAACAGACCTATTACTAAATTATTAAAGTTTAATAGCATATCGATCATTTTTTCAACATAACCTCTGAAATTTTTAATACAAATATAGGCACTTTATATAATACATAAATATACTTAACATCATATCCTCCTTACAAAGCATGTATAAGGCCGTTCCTGGATTTTTGCAGTCCCCTCTTCTCTCGAGTACCCAAGACCCACATTTTAAAACTATCAAAAATCCAACACCAAGCATTAAGAATTATAGGAGGATACATGAAAACTACCCCAGTTAATGTATTACTAGCGGAAATCGGGGAACAACCACTCCACCTAAGAAGGGAATGGCTGGCTTCCAAGTATGTAGGCAGACTGTTCTCCTTGGAAAACCACCCAGTCAAAGGAAAATTTATAGGCGTCTACTCGGACTACTATGACGACGGAATATACTGGGCAAACAAATCTCCTCCCCCTATAATCTACGCATTGGACTTTTTTCTCAACAAAACCGCCTCGATAAAAACTTCCCCCCTCCTTCCCTGCTTCAATACAAACTTCGACTCCATCACCGTTACACGAAAGATCCACGTTCCCGCCCTCCAAAAACAAACTGACAATAAACAGGCTTTTCTGCACTACTTTCAAAACAAATGGAAAGGCTGGGAAGCCTACTACACGGACGGCTCAGTCAGCCAAGTCGGAGTTGGGTCAGGAGTTTATAGCCCTTCCAATCAACTAAAATACTCCGCCAGACTCCCAAACCATGCCTCCATAGCGACAGCAGAATGCTTCGCAATTGCTCAAGCTCTGTTACACGCTACAAACAGCCATATTCAATCCGGAAGAAGACACTTCATTATCCTCTCAGACTCCCAGGCAGCACTTAAAAAAATATGTAACACCAACAACACCGCAAAAAAAGACTCTCTCACATTTGAAGCTAAGACCACCTTACACAATCTAGAAGTACGGGGAGCCAAAGTAGAATTCTGCTGGGTCCCCAGCCACACGAACATCCCAGGCAACGAAATAGCGGACAACCTAGCCAGCAAAGGATGCAAGTTGGAAGACCTAACAGAAACAAGATCACCCTATGAAGATCTCATAAAACTTATAAAACACGACATACACAAGAGATGGAAAAACACATTTAAGGAAAACCTAACGCAATCAGGCAGATTCTACTCCACACATACACCAGAACTTCAAAAGCCTTGGATCTCAATCAACTCTCTTGATAGAAGACACATCACTACCTTCCTGAGACTAAGAAGTGGTCACTGTCTCACAAAATCCCATCTGCATAGAATTGGCTTAGAAACCAGCCCTTCGTGTGACTGCGGAGCCACCGAACAAGACCTCCACCACATATTTCTAGAATGTACAACACAGACAGACCACATCAACAACCTATATAGAAAATTAAGTAGAATCTCCATCAATCCCATAAACCTGACAAACATCTTAAATAACCCCACGCACGAAGTTATAGTTGCAGTACTCGCCTTCCTAGATTCAACTAACACCAGGCTGTAAAACCCCCTGCTCTCATTCGCTCTGACCTACCCGCTTTGCATGGCTACGCCTTACATATAAAACCTAATACCCAAATTCCTTTTCACCAGCACGTTAACAGCCAACATACTACCCCGGATAACGCCTAAGAATCCAGACCACTGGCTGATATGGTTTACACAGACCAAGGCCAATAAATAAAAAAGAAGAAGAAGAAGATCATATCCTCTGTGCTTTACATACCTGAGTTGTTACGGTAAATAAAAATCAGACAAAGGAACCAAAGAAAGGCACTATTTTCAACAAAATCATATGCAGAAATGAGAAAATTCAAACTACTTGCATCCATCAAAAGATCAAAACTTCTTGCAATATTACATCCTCTTTTTATACTCTCAGAAATATTGACTAGAACAGTATTAGAGAGACTCCAGTTTCTATAACTTGGTAGAGTAAAGAGAAGTCGAAACCGTTGCGATATTGCATTGCGCTGTTTTTGTATAATTCTCGGGGACATTAACGAAAATCATTGCCAGTAAAATTCGAAAAGCTTGAGTTTCTATGTCTCTGAGGAGAATAGGAATCCGAAGTTGCTGCACCATTGGACTGAACCCTTTTTTAATAATTTCTAGAGACATAAATGACTGCACCATTCGACAGGGTCGAGTTTCTACTCCTCTGTTGAATATAGAAAATCAAAATAATGTATCTTGTAAGACACCATTGAGTTTGCCTTTAAATATAGTCGTGCATGGGTATAGAGCCGAAAAATATAAAAACAAAGCACGATTCAATACAGTTATGATAAAACTTTAAGATTTGATATTCAAACGCGGAGTCATCCTATACACTTCTATAATTTTTCGTTTGCTGTGATCTCAACCTCGTTGATTTTGCGCAGCTACACGAGAGCCCTCTTGCGATATTTGTATTGTATTGGGAATAACCAATTAGCAGATTTTTCGAATCTAACACTGGGAATGCCCAATTTAATTCAATTGTAAATTACCCATAGGTAGCTTTATCCAATCGAAACCGCTAAAAAACAGTAGAATCCTATTTGGATTTTTCCATATTTTAAAGTATTAGGAATAACCAATTACCAGATTCCTTTTTAGAATTTTACACTGGAAATGCCCAATTGAATTTAATTGAAAATTACCTATAGTTAGCTTTATCCAATGGAAACCAATAAAAACCAATAGAATCCTTATTGGACTTTTCCATCATGGAAAATACCAGTAAAAACCAATTTCTGTTTTATATCGCGCCCAATTAAATCCAGTAAGTCCAATTCAGACCCATTGCTACCAACCAATACTTCTATTGGTTTCTACAGGAATTAATCGGTCATTTACAACAGGGCTTTTTAGGTGATTTTTTGCAATAAAACTTAAATTTCCATAAAAAGAATTAAATTTTGTAAATTAGCTAGCTATAAACTTGATATAATAAATAAAATTCGTATAAAATGGTTTTTCAGAGCTAGAAAAACAATTTTTGCAATAAAATTAAACAAAACATGTCAAAGTGAAGTTTTTTTTAAATTTTTATTTTATGTCATTTTATCACCTTCATCGTCTTCATCAAATTAAACCTTTATTATTATTTTTGTATTATCCATAATTCAACGCAAATTTAAACATAGAAAACCACGAAATTTAAACCAATAAGGATATGACACAGAACATAATGATATCAGAGATAGGTTATGTTGCCTCTTATTCACGTATACGCCGTCAGATTGCGCGTTTCAACTGAGTGTGTCGTTCTTTTTAATGCTTACTCAAATCACTACATCTCATATCACATTAACTGAAGTGAGCTGAGATCTCAGGCGAAAAGAACGCACCTATAATATCATTATTTTGTGTATTTAATATTGTTCATTGCTTTTTTCATTAACTTTATAAAAAATGAATCAAAAAGTATTTTTAAAATAAAGACAAAAATATGTAATTTATTTTTAATACCGGCAATGCCGCCCACGCAAGTGTCTTAATGAAATCGTACGCATTTTTCACTTTCCACCGCGGTTTTCGACATTTGAAATTGATAACGCAAAGGAAAACATTCGCCGCGGCGACTTTAACTGCTATTTTTGAGTAACACATGTATTATAGTTAATATTTATTTTTCTATCTGCTCTTATTATTTATTTATTTGTTTTTTTAGACAATCCCAAGAGCTTTTTTGGAATTAATACCAAATGCAGGTCATATGTCAATGTTGGAAACTCCCGAACATTTAACGCACATGGTTATCTGTTTCTTAGACTGGTGGACACAATAATTATTTACAAATTGCCAAATATATAGTATTAAGATTATAGATATATTGTGATTCTATACGTAATTCCGTCCAATTTGAAACGTTTACAGTATTTTATATTTATATATACCTACTAAATATATAACTTCTTACATAATGTATTTGTTTCATTTTACGCTATAAAATTTCTTATGCCTTCCTCACAAATCATTCAAAATTAATAAAAAATATACTTTAAATATAAATCTCGATTTAATATTATTATGACCCAATTTCATAAAAAAGAAAAAAAATCCCTCCCAGAAAAATGTCCTCTAAAAGATGTCCAATAGATATCTACATAACATCTTATGTGCCGTATATCTAAAAACATATTATCTATGCGCAGCCGTTTTTAGCCCTCCATAAGCTTAAGCTATATATATATGTAAACTGTCCTCGCATAGGTGAAACGACTCTTGTAAAATCAAAAAAAAAATCATTTTAGGTAGCTTGATAAAAGATTAATTTTCAAAATAATTTCAATTTTAAAAATGGAAATACTATAGTACTATACCTGAAGTAATATTTAATTATAAAAATTATATAATTAGGTATTTTCGCCGTTAAAATTTGTCCTAGCCCTCGGAATTATTTTGGGATTAGCTCCGCGAAAACATCTATTATAATAAAGAATAAATATTTTTCTTGACTAAAGACTTTTTACAAGAAACCGTACTGTTTGTATTTTTATAAAACATTAACATACAGAAAAAATTAACGAAAAAGTTAAAAAAATATCGTCTAAATTCGAAAAATCATTACTAAGAAATTACTTAATACTAAGAGCTCAAATCTTCAGTGAGTCATTGTTTTGATGTATAAATTTAAGAATAACTCCACAACATTTTTAAAAAATCCACATTCGAAAAATTTAGACTTTGGCTTTTTTTAATAATATCATCTCAAGGTATTAATAGAGTTGAGGATGGTCAATTGACCAGTTAATTGACCGCTACCTATTTGACCGGTCAAAATATATTTAATTTGTGCAGCATTTTATTTAAGTATTTAGAAATCTCAAAATTTTTGCGATCGTGCAATATCGACATCATTTACAATTTGGTGGTTCCCCGAGGGGTTGCTAGGCCGGACTCGGCGCTTTGCCCTTAAAGCGGGACATATCTTTTTTAATAGCGAAACATAACTTTTTAAAGCCGCACAAACGTTTCTAAAGATGGACTTTTATAATAAAAAAAAAATTTGGTAACGTATTTTAATTACCTATTTATGAAGTACAAATAAATTACAGTAATATTTATTTTGATATTTTATTTAATTTTATTTTGGTCAATTGACCAAAAACAATTTGACCGGTCAATTCCACAACCCTAGGTATTAATATATTTAAGTTCTTAATTTTCTTCAATTTTAAGGTGTTCCAATAATTTAGAATGATTTGGTATTATTTATTTTGAAATTAAAAAAATGTGTTTGGTACGAATAAGATTTATTTATCATTTTAATGTTGGTGACAAAGATCAGGATCTTGTGTAATAAAATAAGTAACATAACACCCCCAAGTATATATATTTGTTATATATAATATTATATTACAGAGAACCTGTAAAAATACAACTTTAAATGAAATACTGCACACTTAATTTTTAATTCAAGTTAGAAATTATACAGAGTGCAAGCTACATATGGCCAAGTTGAAGCAACTGAAAAAATGTTTAACTCACATTAAGGGAAACAAAAAAGAAAATAAACGTTTTAAGAAATGAGAAAAACCAAAACAAAAGTTATAACAGCAGGTCCTCACATATTTCAAATCAAATCAAAACTATCACAAGAATAATATTTAGTTTTCAACAGCATTTTTATTCTTCGCTTCCAGGGTGCGATTTGCTTCGGCGCGCCTTTTCGCATTTTGCGCGTCCGCTATTCTTGCTCTGCCGCGCACTTTAGTCGCTTGGCCTCGACTCTGCCGCCCTTTCACTGATAACACATTGTCTTTGTTGGCCACTTCCCCTTCTTCGCCCTCATCGTCGGAGGGAGGCTCCTTCGCCGCCTTTTCTCTCCCTTTCAAATCGCTCACAGAAGAGAGCACCAGCTCCTGCACAAAGTGGCTTCTGTCCTGCCTGACTTGCTCGGGGCTCGACTGCAAGCACAACTCCTCCAACAAGTTGGCGAGGAGATACTGGGAGACGGGGTTCGGAGCCGAGGGCGCGCTGTTCGCCGGTTGCAGCAACACTGGCGTCGCGTTCAGCATCATGGTCGAGGTGCCGCAATTCGATGACGCGTGCGCTTCCCCGCCCGCCCTTTGAGTCTGACTTTGAGTCTGACGTCTCGGGTAGCGCTCCAGCTGCTGTCTGGCCGCGTTCACCTGCTGTCGCTCCAATTGCAGCTGCATCTGCAGCTGCTGAAGCTGCGTGGGCGTGCTGCTGTTCGTGTTGCTGGCCGAGCGCCGCACACCAGACAGCTGCGACAGCAACTCGGCTATCGGGTCCACGCTCTCTCTCGACCCAGGCGACAGCGATGAGAAACCTCCAGAGCTAAAAACGCTGACAGAATTATATTAAATAGATAAAAATATTGATGGGTTAGTCTAGCTACAAATCACTTAATTGCTTAGGGTTAAGTTCTCCAAAATTCAAAAAAAAAAAAAATTATTCATGGTGGTTCCATTTCAAATCATCCATATTATTATTTAGATATATTTAGTGACGTAAACTGAAAAAATTTTTTTTCAGAAGCATTATCTTTCTTAATACAGATTTTCTATTCTATATTATTGCAATTGCATCGATATCAAAGCGATCTGTTACTTATTATTATAGATTGCAGATGCTCGAGCGCTTTTCAAAGCGCTCATAAGTGCTCGAGCATTTATAAACGATGAAATATAAATTTTATAAAAAAAAAATATTGAAAAAAAAATTCCAACAAAATAGAGGTAAGTAAACCATTTTGGAATTGGATAAACCTGGACCACTTGTTCTGATGTAAACAGTAGTTATTTGTTGGTTAATTTATAACACCGCATTTTAGTTTTGGCGCCAAATTCAAATATCGAGCACTTTGGTAAATGCTCGAGCATTTATGAGCATTTTTAAGCGCTTTTGAAGGTGCTCATCCTTCTCTACTTATTATACGTATACGTATATCGTATTCCCCGGAAATGGTTGCGGCAGATTACGGCAGAAGATGCTGTAGTTTGCTTTGTAGTGCGTTTTAAATTCTTCTAGTGGAAGAAAACATTGCTTTGCTGGGAACATAAGCACAATATCCCGCATTTTCCGAAAGTTAACAGTACTAAAAACTAAAACCGAGTAGAGAAATCTCCCATTTTTCCTGTATTAAAAAGTATTTCGGTCCAACCTTGGAGTGTCTTCAAGACACTCTAGATGGCAACACTTGTCCTTGTCATAAATTGTTTTGTTAATTTTTTTCCACAAAAAAAACCAAAAATACAAACGCTTTTTTAATTAATATGAAAGTTTTTTTATAATTTAAAAAAAAGTTTTGTTTTCTATTCAGAAAAAAATTGAAAAAAAACGTTTTACATCACTACATAAATTAATATAAAACATAATTATATTTGGTACAATAGTTGATATCTACCCTCAAAAATGCATTTTTCAACTATAAAACTAATTTTTAGTAGAATCGCGTTAAAAATAAATCTTGTTATGACGATAAAACAGATATTTACGATAAAATTGTAATAAAAAAAGTGATGTTAAAAAATGTAGCTAAAACACTTGCATAAATATTAGGGTTGTCCACAATGGGGTAGTTAAATTTTTTCTGACCTATACTTTTTATGGTTTTATTCAAGGCGTTTTGTAATTTTAAACATTTCTGTGAAATCGGAATTTCAATTGAGTTTACCGTTTTCGAGATATTTACAAAAAAAAATCTCCTAATTACGTCACTAGGCTATTGACAACGTTGACAGCTTTTTCTATGGTTGCCAGTGTGTTTAGTTCAAGATTCTTACGATAGATGGCGCCACGTTATAATATTTTAGTTTTAAAACCACTTGATCTATAATTTTAGTTGAGAAGAAGAAGAATTGATTTTTTGACGTTTCTTTTTTAAATTTAGATTATTGAAAATCAATGTTATTGTTATGTTATTTGTAATTGATATTAGATAAGTGATTTATTAATAACGGACTCCAAAGCAAAGGAATGTTTGGTTACATTGAACATTGGAGCTTTTAAACAAATAAAGTAAGTACCTATAATTATAATCATATGCCTAGTTCTTTATATTCTTTTAGATATATCTTGGACTCTAAAATATCAAACAGTAATATGATACCTTGTAATAAGGAAGATAGGTACTTAATGAATTTGGTGACCATCTTTCACTCAACTGACAGTGACAGTATTTGTACATAACCTCTTCGGGTATTTTCTGACATAACCGAATGAAATCATTAACAAGACAACTTGACAACAGGGTAATTTTCAACCAATAGAAATCTTAGAATGTTGGTCACATGGCGAGGTTTGTGACGTCATAAAAATTTATATTTTTTGTAAATATCTCGAAAACGGTAAACTCAATTGAAATTCTGATTTCACAGAAATGTTTAATATTACAAAACGCCTTGAATAAAACCATTAAAAGTATAGGTCAGAAAAAATTTAACTACCCTATTGTATGGAGAAAAAAAACATTATTAAAACTTGCCTCCACATGGGTTATTTTTGTTTATGACTTTGTCATAATATTCGTACCGAATTTGTTCCCTCTGGTTGCCCAGAAGGTAAGTATTTCATAAACCAGTAATGTCATTTGTTTCAGTTTTTGATTTTCAATTAGCATGAGTAGTGCTGACCTTAAAACTACAGCAAGGGAGAATAGAAAGAGATAGCGGGAAGAAACCGAAAAAAATTGTTCAAAATAAAAATGCAGAAGGGACAATTTCACAACCATCTACGTCTTCTTCTGAAAACTCTGAATCAATGGTTTCTTTTGAGCACTTAATAGATTTGGAATTGTTGGAAGACTTACAGTGCTCCCAGCGAATTTTTAAGTGCTATTTTTAGGATTTTAGGACAAATCTTAATAGAATTTAAGGACATTTTAAATTTAAAAACTTGCACGTTTTATTAGTTCAAAATAAATTATTCATTGGATAACAAAAACAAAATAAAAATAAACCAATTTTGTATTTAATATCAATAAAAGAAAACCAAAATATGTCAATTTGATCATCCAATTCGCTAATTTTGATCACACAACCATAGAGTAGTTTTAAATATTAACAAAGACATTTCAGGACAAGACCAATTATAGGACATTTAGAACAGAATGCTGAATTTTAGGACTTTTAGGACATTTAAGAGCCCTGTAGGGGAGGAAATTATAGTGATGGTACAAAATGTACCTAAACTACTTGTTATAAAATTAATATTTTGCACAAAAGAGTCAATACAAATGAAAACACCAAAAATGAATTTAAAAGTGCGCTGCATGACTTTTTATTTTAATGAAAAAATTTGAGAATGATCTTTTAGGTATCATATATGAAAAACCGTTGCCGTTTTAATTTTTGGTTGCTTTATTTTTAATCGGCACCCTTTAGAAACCTGAAATCGTGTCATTTTCTTACTCTCTTATAAGAGGCTAAAACTTTTTTTCTGTGGCATTTATTGAAATGATTGTAATTTTATTTTACTGCATAGTAAGTAAGTTTTCAATATTAATTATTTTTATCTAATTAGTTCATCTCTTAAAAGAATGGTAAACCTCTAAAGATTTCTTACATTTATAGTGCAGATTAGCATATTTGTTGCAAACTTGTGAAATGTAAAGTTACTTGTAAATTATTTTATAATGCAATAAATATTATTATTATTATTATTATTTGTAATAATTTGCCAATTTTTGTGATTTTTGTCTGGCTCCTGTGCCTATTCTGCTAAATCTAGAAAGTTGATTTTTTACAGGTATTAAGTACTTATACAATAGAAAACGTAACTATTATTTTAAGTTTCTAGACTATCCTTTTCTTTATTAAAAAAATTATTGAAACTTGATAATTTTCAAATTTATCCAATTTTGCCCTCAGAAATCATTATGTTGAGGAAAAAATAAAAATCTGAAACTTTCAGGAAATGTAGTCCCCCACCTTCATCTTTTCAGTCTATTTAGTTTTGTTTTGTTATTTTTATCCATGTAAAAGATATAATAATTTTTTTAATGCAGTTAAGAAGCGATATTGTTAGTTTTATTTATAATTTAAAATTAAGATGGCTTTGACTTAGTCAATTCATGTTGGGTAGAGAATTGTCAGAACTGTCAAAAATATTTCATAAATATTATTTGTGCGTATTTAAATTGATATTTCAAAAAGTTTGCAAGTGAAATAAATGACGAGATTCATGAATTTAATTGCAATTAAAAATGCAAGAACATATCATAATTTTGTACCTCTTTCTCATAAAAAATATTCAAGTTCTGAGAAGTTTTGAATTGTTAAAAATAAGCAAAAACCAAAAAATATTCTAAATAAACCCCTTTATTATAACATGTTTTATTTTAACCAGTTACCTCTAAAATTTAAAGAAGTATTTACAGATTGTGTAAATTTTTTTCCAACACTAACATTTAAAATACATATATATAACTTTTAACTATTCAGTGCCTTACTAAAGGGATCAAAATAATAGAACAAGACTAACTTGGTTTAAATTGTAAAAGAAACCGACAAAAAACTGCTTAACGCATTTTTTATACGTTTAAATTAACTCTTTATTAATTTCACTTATTATACTTTACGATATAAACCTTAAGGATCTTGAATATATTTTTTACATTCTTCTTCTTTAAACACCAATTCGCCAATTAAATACTTCATTATAATGTATATAATATATTATCATATGTACATAAAATATAACATAACTACCACATATATCAGAACTGTCAAAAATATTTCATAATTATTATTTGTGGTATTCCTTTGGTGATTTTAAAAAGTTTTGTATATAACATATTATGTTACATACAAAATTTACCAAAGAAATACGCACAAATAATATTTATGAAATATTTTTGACAGTTCTGACATTTCTCTACCAAACATGAATTGACTAAGTCAAAGCCATCTAAATTTTAAATTATAAATAAAACTAACAATATCACTTCTTAACTGCATTAAAAAAATTATTATATCTTTTACATGTATAAAAATAACAAAACAAAACCAACTAGACTGAAAAGATGAAGGTGGGGACTACATTTCCTGAAAGTTTCAAATTTTTATTTTTTCCTCAACATAATGATTTCTGAGGGCAAAATTGGCTAATTTTGAAAATTATCAAGTTTCAATAATTTTTTAATAAAGAAAATGATAGTCTAGAAACTTAAAATAATAGTAACGTTTTCTATTGTATAAGTACTTGATACCTGAAAAAAAAAACTTTCTAGATTTAGTAGAATAGGCACAGGAGCCAGACAAAAATCACAAAAATTGGCAAATTATCATGAATCTTTAGTGGTTTACCATTCTTTTGTGAGATTAAGTAATTGGATAATAATAATTTATGTATATCGAAAACACACTTACTGAACAGTAAAAAAAAATTAAAATCATTTCAATATTTGTCACAGAAAAAAAGTTCTGGACCACTATAAGAGAGTAAGAAATTGACACGATTTCAGATTTCTAAAGGGTGCCGATTAAAAGTAAAGAATCCAAAAATTAAAACGGCAACGGATTTTCATATTTGATACCTAAAAGATTATCCTCAATTTTTTTTATCAAAATAAAAAATCAAGCAGCGCACCCCATTTGGTGTTTTTATTTGGAATGACTCAAAAACAACTTCTTAAGCTTTAAAACTCACTATGAAAAACACATAATAATATTTTGTACTTTACAATGCTTTTTTTTTAGATATTCACCATTTTAAATAGTGAATATCTTGTTAAAAAATGCATTTTTATAGGATACTATATATATAAAAGTGATTTTATAAATAGAATCACGTTAAAATATGGCACGCCGTTTTACTTTTTAATGACATCAAAAAATTAACTCAAAACAAAAATTATCAAAATTAAAAATTGCCTAGAAAATATAAACGTTCATAAAAATTACTAAATTAAATTTAATTATAAATTAAACTCTACCAATTTATTTTTTGATGTATTGGATAAGTTTCCATAATATATATTTACATCATTGTGGTCTGATCTATATTTTTAAGCCTCAGTTTTTATTGTATGAATATTTTTTTTCTATTTAAAAGAGGTGCTTATATGTAAATAATAATATTTCATTTATTAATTTAAAATTAAGTTAAAGTAGAATATTTATTTTGGAATAAAAATTAGACAAGATTTAAATCTGTAAGCGCAAGGCTAATTTTCTCGATGAAAAATTCGATGAATTAAAATGTTGTTTAACACTCGTAAACAGAATTTTAATTTGGCGCTAGTGCATAGTGCGGTTGTGTTACGTACTACTGCCACGAAGCGAAACCACATAACGTCGAAGGTAAGCTCGAAAATAAATTAGGCAACAGTGCTATCAATAATGTAATACATTAAATGTATATCGACATGATAATGATTATTAAATTATGTAAGGGGTGCATTTCAACAAGACTGCCCTGCTGGCTAACCTCACTTTATACGAAATAATTTAGATATGGACTCTCCTAATAGACAATTTAATTGTTGTTCATTATTTGCTTAGTTGTCTATGCAATAGGATTTCTCGCTGAAGAAGATATTTATATAATTACCAGAATTGTCCTACTCGTTACGTATCCGAGCCGACTACCTGTACAGTATAAATAATCCACAAACTTAATGAATGTTATTAATGGTGGATTGAAAATATTCTATTGTTTTTTATCTTTTAGTTAATAAAAACCAATATTTTAGTAAAAAAGATTTTCTTTATTTTTATTTCAAAAAATTAATCAATAAATTAGATAATAAATTAAGGAAAGCAAAACAGGTAAATAAATAAAATGACAGCACTGAATTTGAATGCACCGTTGCCTAATTTATTTACCTTCGCTTGGTGGCAGTAGTACGTAACACAACCGCAATATGCACTAGCGCCAAATTAAAATTCTGTTTACGAGTGATAACCAACATTTTAATTCATCGAATTTTTCAGTCAGAAAATTCGAGGTATAATATTTATTCCAAAAAATAAAAACAAGGAATTATTATTCTGTCACATACAAATAGCATTGAATTTATTATCTAAAAAAATAATCGGATTAAAAGAAATATGGCAGAAAGATTCTTAAATGAAAATTCGTATTGCTAGGTTTAAATAACATAATAATTAATAACAAGTATACCTCAACTTTATTCCCATATAAAAATTGTTTCAAAGTGTTTTAAACAACAAAATAATTCGTATTAAAAGTAAATATTAAATTTTTTAAAAATAACAATAAAAATAAAATTGTATTCAATTCTTATTAGTCAAATAAAATTTTAAGTAATATTATAAACATTTAAATATTAAAACAAATATTTCGAGCAAAATATTTGTGTGTCGAATAAGAAACCTTATCACTTTAATTTCTAACAGGTAAATTGATTTTTATGTCGACGCTCGTGTCGACGAGTAATAATAGAAATTAATTGCGACAAAATGATAATTTCAGTATTACTTTTTCTTAAATAAATGTTGCGCACCTTGAATTAATTGGCTAAGAAATTCGATGAATTAAAATTTTGGTTTACATAATTTCAATTTGACTGCCTGTTTCTCCAAGTAGCGCCTTATTAAAATTATCTCAACCAAAATTTTAATTCATCGAATTTTTTAGTCAGAAAATACGCCATTCAGTTCCAGAATTAAAATTACTTTAATTCTTATTCTGTGCTTAAAATTGTGTACTCAATATACCAAGACATCATAAAAATTTTACTTTAAAATGTTCAGTCAATTTTTAAAAAAGCAACTTGAATTAATATTTAGCTTTAATAAACATGACATTAAAAAGTAAAACGGCGTGCCATATTAAAACGATTATTGACAGTAAAATTTAAATAATATTGTGATTAAAGCAACTGTGGCGGCATAAATTTTTTAAAGTAAAAATGGATTTACCTAAAGTGCATGTTGGAGCGCCTGGGCCTTAGGGCAGCAGCAGCCCCTCTACCTATGTGTGTAGTAGCATGTCCAGTGTTATGCGGAATCCTTCTGACATTGTGACGAGTACTGACCGGTTCATCTAAGAAAGAAATTAAATCTCTTGGTCCTGTACGGTGTTCTAGAGTCAGATGGCCAGCAAAATCATCAGTCATTAGGTTTGGATCTCCGCCAGGCATAGCAGCACACAATGGACACACCTAAAATGTTATTCAATTAAAAGCATCCTGACATTGAATCCTGTTCCATTTTCTTACCACTTCGAAGGGTGAGTCTGAATGATCCAATGAGACATGTTCCTGCAGTGTTACATCAGTATATCCCATTTTTGAACAATAAGGGCAGGTATATGACTGAGGGAGTTCTAAACTTGTTAAAGCTTCGCCACCATAATACAATTCTATATATTATATATAAGGAAGAAAAATGATTAATATTGTATAGGTAAATCATTTAACTAAAAATACCATTTTCATTGGATAAAAGTTAGCTCCAAGTAATCAGTTTTGCTAGCTAATTAGACAAAGTGCAAAGTGAAGTAATATTAGATAAAGTGTGTTACTTACCAAAATCAGATCTAGCTAATATGCATTGCATTGGATGGTCTGTGCTGTGTCTTGTATTAGTGGCACCTCCCTCAAAACACGTAGCACACAAATCATAATCGTAGCAAATCAGACATTTGTATCTTCTACCTCTAAAGTTGCTTTTTAAACAGGAATCACAACTGACACCTAGAAATTTGCACGAATTTTATTATGAGTCGGCATTGTTTTAAATGGTTTCAATGTTCACTATTGGTAACTGTATTATAAATAGATAACTTAATTTCTCACCTTCGTGACGGTTCAGGTTCATTGTAAATCTATATTTTTAAATACATTAATAAAATTATATATACATATATATAAATTATTATGTACAAACTATCATAACATTATTTCTTTTTATAACCCGATGTAAATTGACATTTTAACCAACATGACAAGAGAGAAGTCAGCAACGAATCAACTTATACCAATCTAAATATGTTACCAAAAATATATAAAATCCTACCAAACTATCGATCCGATTTTTAATTTAAGAGGCCTATTCCCATAGAAATAATTTGTATTATTTCCATGCATATTCTCTTTCATTGAACATGCATGTTCATGAACTACATACATACATACATGTTTTCGTTTAGGACTACATATGTTTTGTAACATATGTCTATTCCATTTCAATTATTTCGTCTATGACATTAACAGTATCATTAAGAAGTTAAATGAAAGTAATCCATTGGAAGCTTTTATACAACACATTAACATTAAGTTAACATTAAAGCCTGATTTATAGATTGTCTTCCTTCCTTCATCCTTTGCTCCCGTAAAAGATGACCAATACGAAAACCGTAGTGCCGTTTATAGATTTCCGTACGGGATTGTGTTGTTCATCTTATACGGGAGGAAGGAAGGAAGGAAGGAAGGAAGGCAATCTATAAATCAGGCTTAATGCTGGATTTATGCAGCACACATTAACATTCAGTTAACATTAAGCTAAGAGGAATAAAAATTAACATTATCATTAATTAAGAAGATAAAAGTTGGCTGTTAATTTCTATTCCTCCTGCGCAGGTCTGCGGCGCAATTTTTAAATAAACCGTGTCAGTAATGCCAACATATCCTAAAATAAAATGAAACGTGCTGCTGAATGATTCATTTTTTATTCAATGATTGTCTTTTTTGGATTATTGTTTGACATGCAGTTTATAGTTTTCATTAATTTTACCTAACAGATGCTGAAACGGGGTTAAAACAATATCCAAACAAACCAAAAATGTCAGATGTCAAGATTACTTTAACTTATACGCACGCCACTAATTTTGCTGCATAAAATACCCACCTTAAATTAGCTTAATATCTGCGCCACGGTACCGGCCCGGTACTACCGGGTTCGATTCCCGGTCACAGCCTTGGGTGTTTATTAAAAAATAAAAAACATCATGAGCTTGCATATAAAACCTTAAATCCATTAAAACCTTAAAAAAAATAGCTTAATGTTAATGTGTGCTGCATAAATCCACCAATACGCTCAAAGAATTTCTTAAAGCAAGAATTTTAGTGTATAATCCTTGTTCAACAACCAAAATAAAGTGCGGGAGCGGGAAATTTAAATGATATTACTATTTTTATTATTTTATTTAAAGAGAAATGATAAAAAAACAATGTAAGTAGTTGAACAAATACATTTATTGTTATAATTTAATAACATAAACTATAACATACAATTTAACAAATACATTTATTTGTTTGTCTGCACAAAATAAGTGGCCAACATTCATTAAAAAAAACTAAGGTATCATAATGAATCCTGTACAAATTTTAACTTAATTGGCTCAGTGGCGGCCATTTTATAAGGGTTTAAATGATTCAAAATTTGTTAAACCAAGTTAAAGATTATTATTATTTTTAAAACTATTTAAAATATATTCGTGAAATTTTAACACATGTTTTATATATAAATATTCCTTATTTTTATCAAATTTGAATTTAATTAGATCAGTGGCGGCGATTGTATAATTATAAGGGTTTAAATATTAAAATTTTGTTAAAGTACGTAATTGATAAGATTTAATAACTTGAAATCTTATTTATTTATACTCAAAAATATTAAACTTGTTTATTGTTAAAAATAAATTTAATTATAAATTATTTAGTAAGATAATTATAATGCATAAAATTGCATTATTCGTTTGACTATAAATCTGTGGCTTGAAACAAAAATAATAAACATTTATTGCTCATAAAAATATTCTTTTTTTTATATAAATGGATCGGAAGTCTTGCTTCATAGCTTCATAGCTTCATTTGTTTTGATATTTTTCGAGTAAGATGTTCTCTAGAATATTTAAAGTCCTGACCTCCTCCGATAATTGGCCGATTAGCAAATAAAAATGGCTTATTATATCTCGTCCATGAATTAAAATTGTATGCACTGAAGATGGCATATAGTACCAACTATATAGACACATAGAGCTCGGCTGTTTCTTGTGCGTATTTCTTAAATTTTTCAACATCTATTCCTCTTGCTCCAGCTTGCAAAATATCCCGGAACCTAGATTTACATCTACTTTTGTTATATTTGATGTTGTCTCTGGATCCCTAAAAAATCTACGACCTGTATTACTAGGGTTGTGCCTGGTCAATTGACCGCGGTCAATTGAGCGAGATTTTGACCTTTTTTGTTAGCTGTATTTCAATAAATATAGGTTTCTATTTAAAATTAAGTAATTTTAATCATGCCTTTATTTCTTTAGAAAAAACTAAAGAATTTGACCGGTGATTAGTCAATTGACCGGTCAATTGACTAGTCAATTGACCACAAAAGATTTTGACCGGTCAAAATCCCAACCCTATGTATTACCATCATTGGTAGGTATCTCCTTGTTTGGGCATATCTATATAGATATTCTTATTCCCTTTTTTCCCAAAATTCTTCCTGAATTCTTAATTTTTCAGTTTTTCTTGGGGCCTTATTTTTATCAGTTGTAACTGTCCATTTAAGTTGGGTTGAAACATTTAATTTTGCACATTGTATTTAAATTAGTTTTGTAACTATATTTACCATTTTTTTTTTCGAAGCATCAGTCGACCGATCATGCTTAATAATTTGGGTGCCCCAGGTGCCCCATTGGTTTTTAATATTCCTGTTCTTGGAATTACTTCATTTTGATCAAACCAATTTTTTTTTCATGATTTGTCTCATTGAACGCTTTTTTCTCCCGTAATCCAAAAATATCGGTTTTATGTTATCTGGGGCTCTAAAGTGTAAATTAATTGGTTTTCCTTAAAAAAAAAACTGAAACTTTCAGTAAAAGATAAAACTTACTTTTAAAATTCTTTTATTTTATTCGAGTTTTCATTTTATAAGTAAATCGTAGCGTTTAATTTTAGGCTTTTGACTTTCAACCATTGGATTGTTTTCTAATGTTCTAGATTTATCAAATGTATTATGTCTGCTTTCGTTTCTACCCTCAATTTTTTTCTTTTTTTTTGTTTTATTTTATAAGTAGTTTAGATGATTCATTATAAAAATTATAAAAATAATTACTTACAATATTGCGCACTTTTAATAAATAAAATTAAAATTATTGTTTCAAAGTAATACCATTGAGTAACCACTTCCTTACTCAATGGTAATACAGTTCATTTAATATTCATTTAAAAAGGATATAAAAAAACCTTTGGCAGCAGTGTTGCCAGATGTAAATAGTGTTGACAAAATAATCGAATTTTCAGAAATTATTGTAACATTGTGTTTTGGATCTATAGAAGAATCCTGGTGTTTTCTCTTAATGTGTACTTGGTTATAAGAGTTTAAAATAAATTGAGATGATGATTTTTGATTGTTTATGGCAAGCCGTTTTACTTTTTAATGCCATGTTTATTAAAGCTAAATAATGATGTCTTGGTTTATTAACTACACAATAAGCACAGAATAAGAATTAAAGTAATTTTAATTCTGGAACTGACCGATTTCTAAATGCAATAAGTGAAATTAAACTCTATTTTATCTAAATAAAACTCCGATAACAGACTTTAAAGTTATTAAAGAAAACGTCTACTACTTACATTAAGTATGACAAAAAAATATAACCCTACAGAAAACAATTTTTAATCTTTAATAACTTTTTAGTTTATCGACCGATTTCTAAATGCAATACGTGAAATTAAACTCTATTTTATCTAAATAACAAAAAATAAAACTTTGTTAAAATCCGATAACAGACTTTAAAGTTATTAAAGAAAACGTCTACTACTTACTTTAAGTATGACAAAAAAATATAACCCTACAGAAAACAATTTTTAATCTTTAATAACTTTTTAGTTTATCGACCGATTTCTAAATGCAATACGTGAAATTAAAATTTATCTTAATTACAAAAAATAAAATATAGCTAAAATCCGATGACGGACTTTAAAAGTTATTAAACAAAACGTCTACTACTCACATTAAGTATGACAAAAATATATAACCCTACAGAAAACAATTTTTAATCTTTAATAACTTTTTAGTTTATCGACCGATTTCTAAATGCAATACGTGAAATTAAACTCTATTTTATCTAAATTATAAAAAATTATTAACCCTACAGAAAACAATTTTTAATCTTTAATAACTCTTTAGTTTATCGACCGATTTCTAAATGCAATACGTGAAATTAAAATTTATCTAAATTACAAAAAATAAAACATAGCTAAAATTCGATGACGGACTTTAAAGTTATTATACAAAACGTCTACTACTCACAATAAGTATGACAAAAATATATAACCCTACAGAAAACAATTTTTAATATTTTATAACTTTTTAGTTTATCGACCGATTTCTAAATGCAATAAGTGAAATTAAACTTTATTTTATCTAAATTATAAAAAATAAAACATCGTTAAAATCCGATGACGGACTTTAAACTTTCAACTCACTGCCTCCTCGATTTTGGGGGGATCCATGATAACCGTGGGCATGAAAATGAGGAAAATGTGGTTGCAATCTGTTCTTTTGCTTTGAGGATGCGAAAATGCCACCTTGAGCTCAACCATGGCTTCCAACAGAACGCGTTCGCCCTCGTTCTGCAAATATTCGAAGGAGGCTTTTGCTGATGAAGAAACGGTAGTCGGTCATTCTTTTCCAGGCGCGACCTACAGATTAAAAAATTATGCACCAGGTCTAATATCTTTTTTATTTTTGATCCGATTTTATGAATTTATATGTCAAAAGAAGGCTTAATTAATCTAGCTTAAAAAAATATACACATGTTGGTAGGCGACTTCCATGGCTTTCTAGATATTTAGCAGAGTATGTCAAAATATTGATTACCTTGGCTTTTCCGAGATACAAGTGCATCTTTTGGTTGGCGGTCGGGAGCGCTTCCAAGTTGTAGGTCCTCATCATGCGGCTCAACTCCAATTGGAACGCGCTGCCGGCTTCCAAGTGCCTGTAGATAATGCAAGCCTTCATGTGCCTGCGTATGCGTTCTTAAAGCTTATATGATAGTCGGTAAGCCCATCAAGGCCTGTCCGTGGTTGTCAGCGTCGCATTATCCACTTTTACAGTCAGTTCTTTCAGCTTTTCATTCTCTGCACCTGAATTTGCGCTTTCTTCACCTGCAATCAGCCCAAAGTCGAGCACAGCAACGAGAGGGTCTTGCTGGTCCCAGTAGGCGACTCCAGAACGCCATTTGTTTCGTTTTGCAGGCATTCAATCACCTTGTCCATGTATTTTCTCTGTAACTCGTACGGTTCGAAGAGGAATTCCACGGCAACGCCCTGTATATTTATCGTGCTCATCCCGAAAATTCTCTTTTGTTCACTAAGAAAAATTCTTTCGCTTTATCCGCCAAAAAAACTGTTTTATTACAGTACTCCTATAACATTGCGAAATCTGTTTGTTTTTCTTTGAGGTTATGTTTTTTTACAATTTTATAATTGACCTGTATCTTAGGCAATCAAATACCATTGCCATAACAGTAGTTGCATACCTCGCAGGATTGTGCTAGCTTTTATTGTATTTTATAACATTTTATAATCTACAAAAATTGCTAGGTAGGTATTGTATTTTTTTAACGTATCTATTAGCGAAATTTCCATTACCTTAAAAAATAATGGAAATTTCCTTGAATATTGAAAAAATCCCCCAAATGGACTTTTTACTTTTTTTATTGTATTTTTATGCAAAATATGACAACTGGAGTTTACTCAACATTTAATATTTTTTGATTGATCGCCAGCATTGTTTCTTTGCAAATCTTGCAAAAACCTTCCTGCTATCGTCAGGGAACTCTTCCAAGCATTCAAAGGTTGAAACAATAATGTCTCTTGTGCATGGATGCTTGAAAACTGTATTATTATCTGTCACAGACATATTGCAAATAGCCAAAATAAAAAAAAGTAATATTAATTCAACTTACCACAATAAAATAATATAACACCAATAATTATTAGCATATCAATTGTCTAATAAAATAACACTTCAGAACTTCACTTGTACCTAACTTAGTTTAAAGAAACACTTCAGCACTTCACTTGTAGCTTTTAAAGTCAGGAAGTTATACCTAAATTATAAAGGTAGTTATTTTTACCAAAATAAAAATTCGGGATTAAATTACGAAGAGGTAAAAAAATAATTAGAAAGGTAAAAATGAGAAGATTTAATACCTCGAGGTATTAAAAAATGATCATTTTATTTTTTTTTAAATTTAACTGGGTAAAAAAACATTTTTATTCAATAATTTTTTTAAATTAAATCTTTTTCATCGTTCTATTGTAGCCAATTTATGGTTAGTATACTTTTAATTTATCTTTTTAACCATTCTGTTGTAGTTTTGTGATTAATAAATTAATTATTGATTTTTGAACAAAAAATTGCCCCAAAAATATTATTATTATTATTATTTATTTTTTTGTATCAGCGACAGACTTTCGGAAAATTGATTTGTTGGCATTTAAAATTATGAGGGTGGGTGATTGTAACATTAACCGTTGTAGTAATTCTAGAATACAATCTAAAATTCTAATTTTTTGCAGATTTAAAAAAAAATTGCAATATAGAATTATCAAAATCGTGCATCAAAAACTTTAGCCTGCGGCGAGCTATGTGAATTATTAAAAATTTCTATACATATATATCCAGTCAAATGTAGTCAAAACATTGACAAAGTTTAAAAAAAAAATTAAGTCGCTAACTTCAACGGTTGTAGAAATATGAATTTAAAGATGATGAATATTTGTTTAAAGATTTTATTATAAGAAGTTATAAAATTAAAGGTATGATAATTTTACGGTTTTTAAAAGTCACAAAATCTGTAATAGTAGCTTACTTAAAATATTGTAACGTTTTTAACTGTTCGTAGTGTGAATTAAAACACGCACTGGTTAATTAACGAACTAAACTATTTATTTAATAACTTAACTACACTTAAAACACTATAAAACTAACTAAACACTTAACTACTAATTATTTATATATCACTATTGTTCAAGAGTCTATTTATTTGCACTTATATTTATTTATTTCGCCGCGAGTACCAAATCTTAACTGACTGCTCTGTGCTGCTCTTATATATTACAGCGCTTACGTCTTCTGGAACATTCCAGCGAGCTCCACACTCTCGATTATTCGAGCGCTGAGTCACCGGCGATGACTCACCGGCAATGACTAATCGGCGATGAGTCATCACTCCGATATCCAGGGCGGTACTCGCTACAATATCAACATACGTAAAACAATGTGATTGTTGTAACCTGTTTCGTTAGCGTTATTTCCAACTACAAAAGCGCAATTCATAAACCTTTGGTTGGCGCTGGCGGTTAAGACATTAAAAATATATGCATTAATCTTTCCTACAAATAAGCAGTACCTAAAGGTTAAAATCTGGCAACAGCCTTGTATTGCATGCGCTATCTCTTTTTGCATGGGACTTTATGGTGTCCATGTCAAATCACTAAATATTTAGTATATACCTCGTTAAAAGGTCAAAGCTTGCGATATTGTCCAAAGATACAGGAATATTTATATTCCTGGAATCCAATTTTGTCCCTCCTTGGTCAAAGTCAGCTATTTTTCACACTTTTTCATCAAGCGATACTCACGAAAGAAAAAAACGAATTCAGGTAACACCTAAAACAAATATTGTTGATTTTTGATCTATTGTCCATAATGATTAATGTACATAACTACTTTTCATAATGTTTGTTTTATACACACCCTTTATGGCAAAGAAAAAGGATATGGCTTCAGTTGTTGTCTTGATTAACGCGTACTTATTCTTGGATTTTCATTGGTGCGATTTTAAAATTATTAAACATTCAAATATTTTTTTTTATTATGCCCTTTTTACTTTTGTTTGTTTAGGCGTAAGTTCCCAGATAGCACAAAGACATCTTAAAGATATCGTAAAGATGTCGGACTCGGACGTTTATGACATCTCTAAGACGTTCAGTTTACGACGTAAGTCATCTTTAAGATATCTTATGTTACAAAACACAGCGTCTTTAAGATGTCCTTTTAACGGAGTTATTAAGTCGTTGCTAAACTTAGTTAAGACGTCTTTAAGATGTTAAAGACTACCTATTGAAAACGTCTTGGTTATGCATTGCTACATCGCCAAAACGTTTTTAAGGTATTAAGTAATTAAAATGTAGCTAATATTAAAAATTTTAAAAAATTAAATTGTTACATATTTATTTCTGCCTATTAAAAATATAGATGTGCGCTCTTTAGTGCAATGAAATTGGCACTACTGAATAAGTGAAAGAATTAAACTGCTCGTCATAAAAATCGACGCACCTAGTTTTTTGGAAAATATTTGAAAGCTCGTTATTGAAAAATTACTGAATGGATTTTGAAAATCTTTGGAAATTCTGAATAGCTGATTCTGTGACTCTTATGTCTAATTTTGGGAATACGATATTTTGCACATAGCATTATACTACAGGGTGTTAAACGAAGAGATGTATTTTTTCCGAAATTTCAAGTTATTCCCATTTATAAGGCAGTTGAGTTTGATAGTCGTAATCCCTCGGAACGTTTTCGAGATTTTGTGAATATCGCGGCTTACTACGATTATATATATATTATTATTATACAGTGTGTCCGTAAAGTCCCGGAACATGTGATTATTTTGAAAACGCTAATTTTTTTTAAAAAACGCTGAAACACGCCAACTTTGATATTTTTCTAGCAATATTTTAGCATATGTAGTTGTTCCAAATTCTGCCGCGTGGCGGCGCCACAATCAAAGTCAGTTTTTTTTAAATTGCAACCCTTTATTTTTGTTGCATTTTTGGATAGCTACCGTTGTCCTGATTACATTGATGTGCCACATCTGGGGGGTTACATAAGAAAATTTTTGAGAAAATCAGGTTTTTGCTGCCGAATGAGATTTTGGTATTTTGTCAAACTTACACAATCTATGCGTTGCTTAATGTTTTTGGAAAGCCAATCAGAGCAGTTGCTCAAAGTGTCCACCGTAAACTATTTGGAAATGGAACAGCCTGTCTACAAACGAGCGTTGTACGTTTGCCAGTACCGCTGGAGTGATCATCTGGATCTCGGCTTGAATGCGGTGTCTTAGGTCGTCCAAATTTTAAGGCCTGTTTACATAGACGCGGTTTTTAGGAGGTCCCCATAAAAAGAAGTCTAAAGGGTTCAAATCGGGCGATCGCGCTGGCCACTCAATTTGACCCCTTTGACCTATCCAGCGATTGGGAAAGACCTGATTTAAATAATCCCTTACTAGCAATGCATAGTGCCCCGTAACAGCGAATAAGTTCGTCAAAACCAAAATCTTAATCAGCGGCAAAAACCTACTTTTCTCAAAAATTTTCTTATGTAACCCTCCACATGTAGCATATCAATGTACTCAGGACGACGGTAGCTATCCGAAAATGCAACAAAAATAAAGGGTTGCTATTTAAAAAAAACTGACTTTGATTGTGGCGCCGCCACGCGGCAGAATTTGGAACAACTACATATGCCAAAATATTGCTAGAAAAATACCAAAGTTGACGTGTTTCAGCGTTTTTTTAAAAAAAATACCGTTTTCAAAATAATCACATGTTCCGGGACTTTACGGACACACTGTATATATATGCCAATTTATCGAAAATTGTCGTTATTTCCCAGTTTAGTCCAAAAAATGAGCAATAGTGGATTCTATGACTAACGTCTAATTTTGAGAATACGATATTGTGCACATAGCATTCTACTACAGGGTGTTAAAAAAGAGATTATTTTTTTCCAAAATTTCAAATCCCAATTCACAGGGCAGTTGAACATGATAGTCGTAATACCCCTTCCTAATAACAGTTAGGTTATCCCTCGGGACGTTTTTGAGATTTTGTGGATATCTTGGCTTACTACGAATATATGGCAATTTTTCGAAAATTCACGTTATTCTTCATTTTAGTCCAAAAAATTAGCAATAGTTGATTCTTTGACTCTTATGTCTAATTTTGGAAATACGATATTGTGCACATAGCATGGTACTACAGGGTGTTAAAAAAAGATATGTTTTTTTCCAAAATTCCAAATCCCCATTCACAGGGCAGTTGAGCTTGATAGTTCTAATACCCCTTCCTAATAACAGTTAGGTAATCCCTCGGGACGTTTTCGAGATTTTGTGGATATCTTGGCTAACTACGATTAAATAGCAATTTTTCGAAAATTTTCGTTATTCTCCACTTAATTCCCAAAAATGAGCAAACTACGAAAGGTATCGATTAGTTATCAACACATCGTTTCCCCAATTTGCATGTTTTTGTGCCCATCTTCTTTTAGCAGAAAAAGA